CCGAGTGTAGACTTAGCTTAGACAGACCGCTACCCCATTTATCTAACTATACATCACTTGCAACAAAATTTAATCTAAATCAAAATGATGGTGTAGTTGTTTATGTCAAAAATAATCTTAAGGCAACTATGAAAGAGGTGAAATTGGATCATGCTTCCTGTATACATATAAATATTTTTGACCATACAATTTTATGTATTTGTCGTTCTCCGTCGAATCCAAATGCGACAAACTTTATCAACTCTATTAGTTCTTACTTGGACACAATAAAGTCCTGTCGTAACATAATAATAACGGGTGATATTAATATAAACCTAATTCCTAAGCAAAACGAAGGATCGAATGAAACTAATAATAGGGATAATTATTTGAATATGTTGTCAACTCATGGAATGCTACCTGGTCACTCTCTACCGACTAGAGGCGCTAGCTGTTTAGACCATTTTATGTTAAAATTAGACAAAAGAAAATTTTCTTCGCATATAGCAATCTTAAATACAAGTACTACTGATCATTCAACAATTTTTTTGAAATTAAGTAAAATAAAACAAAAGCAAAATGTATCGAAAACAGTAGAATTTGTAGACTACGAAAGAGCGCTCTCAATATTAATGCGGAAGAATATCTCTACATTATTATTTTGTGACGACCCGAATGTAGTTGCCGAAAAACTTATAAAAAGCTTATCTGAATCCTTAACAGAGAGTAAAATTACAAAAAAGAAAGCCAAAATCACAACGCACCATTAAACCTTGGATTACACCTGGTGTTTTAAGGTGCATTAGAAACAGAAATAAATTGCAAATGCAACTGCGTTTGGATCCTCACAATGTAATTTTAGTAATTACCTATAAAAGATACAGAAATTTCTGTAACAACCTACTAAAAAAACTTAAAAGACAATTTGAGAGAGAACAATTAAATAAAGCAAATAATAATTCAAAAATACTTTGGAAAACAATTAAAGAAATAACAAATCTAAAACCTAATAAGACCATAAATTCTGATTTACTAAATATTAAATTAAGCCCTTATGATTCAGTTAACTATGTTAACGACTATTTTTCAAATATCGGTAGAAAGCTTGCTGAGGATATCCAAAAATATGACACCTCTCCCGGACCTGACAGCCTACATAGGCATAAATCACATTCATCATCATTTGCCTTATTAGAAACTGATCCACTAGAAATTGAAAATATCTTGTCAGATCTTAAGTCAAATAGTGCACCTGGCTGGGATAATATCTCTACTCAGTTTCTCAAGTATTCTAAATCCCTCGTAGTTCCCGTGATAAGTCATTTGACTAATCTCTGCTTCCAAAAAGGGTATTTTTCCGTCTTATCTCAAAAAATCTTTAGTGATTCCGTTGCACAAGGGTGGAGGAATAGATGATGTCAATAACTACAGGCCCATTTCAGTTTTGCCTGCCGTTTCTAAAATAATAGAAAAGTTAATAAATAAACGACTTATCAATTACCTTGAAAGCTTTAATCTTCTTTCAGATAACCAATTTGGGTTTAGACGCGGTAAGTCGACAGAAGATGCAGTTGTAGCACTAACATCTCATATAACTGAACAACTGGATCAAGGCCGTAAATGTTTGGCTATATTTTTAGACCTTAAGAAAGCCTTTGACACTGTTTCTTCTTCGATCCTTGTGCGGAAATTGGAAGCAATCGGTGTAAGGGGCATCCCGCTGAATTTATTCAAGGATTACCTGAGGGAACGTAAGCAACAAGTAAAAATAGGTGACTACATTAGTGAAGAATCACCGCTTACTTTTGGTGTTCCACAGGGAAGTGTACTGGGTCCTACACTGTTCCTTATTTATATTAATACATTAACTAACCTAAATTTAGTCGACGGTCGAGTATTTTCTTATGCCGATGACACCGCAATAGTTTTTACGGGAAATAATTGGAACTCGGTATTTAGAAATGCTGAATCTGGTCTATTAATAATTTCAAAATGGCTCCAGAGTAACCTTCTTTCCTTAAATATTGCAAAAACTAAATATGTACGCTTTACGATTAGTAATAGAACGCAACCAAATAATAACAATAGTTTAAAAATACATTATTGTGGTATTTCTAATAGTTCTAACTGTAAATGTACATTTATCGATAAGGTTGCATCTATAAAGTATTTGGGAGTTGTTCTAGACCAACACTTGAACTGGCACTCTCAAGTTGAATATACGAGTAATAGGATACGGAAATTAATTTGGATATTTAGGAAACTAAGACATGTCACCTCTAAAAAATTACTAAATCAAATATATATTGCATTAGCACTATCCATAATAGGGTACTGTATCTCAGTCTGGGGAGGTGCAGCTAAAACAAAATTATTAGAAATCGAAAGAAGTCAGCGTTGTTTACTCAAAGTTATGTATTTTAAACCATTTCGTTTTCCAACTGAAGAACTTTACAAGTTGTGTGAGCTTCTTTCAATAAGACAGATATATATTCTATCAATAGTTTTACGGACACACAAATCTTTGCCTTTTAACTCTGAAATAATGATGAGAAGAAGAAAAGATAGGGTAGCAGTAACTAGATACGTAAAAACCAAATTTGCTCAGCGTCAGTTCTTATCGCAATCTGCTCATCTCTACAATAGGCTGAACAAAGATTTGGATTTATATCACTTGAACACATACAAATGTAAACAAATAGTTACAAAGTATTTATATACTAAAACATATAACGACACAGAATGTTTATTGCAATATGCTAATTGATTTAATTTTATATTTATTATGTTGATATGTTGAAATAGGTTTTGGTGAACGAGAACTGTGACAATTTATACGAAGTTACACATTCATACTCACACAATACACATATATTTTTACACAAACACACACACACACACACACACACACACACACACACACACACACACACACACACACACACACACACACACACACACACACACACGCCACACACACACACACATGCGCGCGTGCGCGCGTGCGAACACGCTCTCATGCTTTTTTATTGAAATTCAGAATTAATCTATTTCAGGTAATATGTAAATTGAAAGTATTGATTGTTGTTTTGCCTTGTTTTTCACTCTAAACTAATGTTAACATTAATTATTTTTATAAGTGTTTTTCCAAATTGTCTTCACAAACACATTTAAAGATATTTAGCAAAGTAAGGAAGAGCGGGGCCACCTGGCACAAGTATTATTATTACTTAATAGGATGGTCCCAACCTCTGTTTACAGTTACAAACCATTGTGTTGTGAAATAAAGATTTTGAAATTTGAAATTTGAAATTCTCGCCATTGAACGTTCAGTTTTACGTACGGTTAAGGTGTCATACGTTCGGTAACATTTTATTTTATTTAAATTTTCGAAAACAATTATATTTTGTATACTCATTTCAATAGTTTTCATGCATGCACATATATTTAACAGTTTATATTTATTTAAATTAAAGAATTATTTTCATTACGAGCTATTAAATTTAAAATGCTAACCGTCTTATGCCGGCCTGTGGAACGTAAAGTAAAACTGACGCTATTTTGTTTTGATTAATACAAGATACAGGACTGTACAAGCTTGATTGTGAATGTGGCCTCTTATATAGGACAAACAAAAATATCAATTAGAACCCGCGTAAAAGAACATATAGCTGATGTGAAGCATCAACGTTCCGGGAAGTCTGCAGTTTGTGATCATATCCTAGAAGGCCCCAACCATGATATCAGATTTGATAGACCACAAATCCTCGCGAAAGAACACCGATTCCTACCAAGGATGGCTATTGAAATTAAAAAACATCCTAATTTCAATAGAGAAGGAGGCTGGGCTGCTTGGGACCCTATAATCAATAAAATTAAAACTAAACCCAAGCATACCACTGCAAGATCTCAGGACATAATCAGTTCATTTTGAGTAGATCGAACCATAAACAATAATTAAAAAAGCTGAAGGTATTCCAGGTTTAACAATGACATCGGGACGTCAGTCACCTCAATCCTCCGTGACCATGGGTGCTGGAAAGCACCCGAAACGTCGGGAATTAAAAATAAAAATAATAAAAATGTATAATTAAACGCGATAAAATCCGTAAAAATAGTTTTAATCAATTCCATTAACGTCTGTCGAATTGAGGGTGGATTGCAGGTGTCTTTCTTTGACTCTCCAAAAATCGGTATGGATTTCAGAGCCTACCTCCACATGCTTTTGTATTAGTGGTACCAACATTTCCGCAGATCTATAATTATCGGGACACACTTCTAATCTCAAATCATCTTTCCCATTTTCTATCATGCCCAGTTTCCAGTGGCCTTCAATGTTTCTCCCTCTTTTGTACCTTCTTTTTCAAATTTTTGATTCATATATTTATACCATTTTGCCGGGACCACCAATCTTGCCGTTAACTTCTTGGTGCTCCAATTTATAAATAACTACTGTCTTCCGCCAGTAAGAAAATCAGTCACTTATTTTCCTTGTTGATAAAACTGTTTCTCTGTCTTCGAGGACTGTCTCTAATTTTACTTGAAGATAACTATACTTTTTTCTGTACTTATACATTAGTAAAAATTGTAACACGATAGACAGCCGCGCATTCTTGAGCCATGTTCCCGCTGCCCGACTTACTGTCTTAGAGCGACAGCTCTCTTCCTGTATCTGAAAATGCCAAGCTGACCAGTGTTACTGCTGGAGCTTAATGTCATAGGTTTCCTGTGATATGAGCTCGTTCTTTCTGTACGAAGGAGCCTATGCTCTTCAGCAAATGCAATGCATTGAGCTGGGGTGTTGAGCCGAGTAATGATCTCATACATATTCCAGTGGCACCTAATACAAGCAATAATGTTCCTATTAGAAATATGATTACTGCTTTACTCGTCAGATTTTTTTGGGAAGGTTACATAATATTTAGCTATATAAGAAAATACAGCGAACGAACCTTATTTCCTCGGCATTGTAGTGGATTCTTCGGCCAGACGACCCAGAAGCTCGAAGTTCTGCACCACCCATGCTGCTCTCAGACGACGTCGGAGACGCAGGTGACAGTACCAATACGGTACTGGGAACGGTGGCACGCAAACTACCAGATACTGGCTCCGATGGCACAGTCAGGGGCACAAGTGGCTTACTAGAGTCCAACTCTTGCACACACTGGAGGCCTGCAGAAGAGCTCGCGACAAGTGGCTTATCAGAGTCCAATGCTTTCACTACACTCGATTCTATAGATGGAACTTCACCATACGAGGAGCCTGAAGAAGTACACAAGACAAGTGACTCATTAGAGTTTAACACTTGCACTACACTTGATTCTTCAGACGGCACAGCAAAACTCGAAACCTGGGGCTCTGGAGACGCCATGGTGGTAGTCAAACGTTACTAATAAGTAAATGAGTGTAGTGTATTTGTAGTGGCGGTATTAGAATAACCACTACCCCATGTCACCTCGTCGGTACGTACCATACCACTACCTCATACCTCCTCATGTGTTTCCCTCCACCGCATTTTATGACACCGACGAGGTGACATGGGGTAGTGGTTATTCTAATACCGCCACTACAAATAGGTACACTACACTCATTTACTTATTAGTAACAGTTATTATAGTTATTTTTTTAAAAGGGAAACATAATTCGACTTAACACTCGACATAACCAAGCAAAAAAAAAAAGAACATTTGCAATTCCAATCTTTATTGTATTTAACAAGATGGTTAAGGTGAAAATAGAGTTGTAAACCTATCTACTTTTTACACTGTGTCTAAGTAAAATGGCTTTGTGCTGAATTAGATAAGTAAATAAAAGGCTACTGAAACTTCCACGGTCCCGGAAATTGTGCCGCTTCGGGGCGACATGTGACAGAGAAATGGCTTCCTATCAAGGCTTTTGTTTATTAGAACTGCGATCAGCAGAATTATTTTATTTAGTATTTATTTTACTTGCGTATAAATGCTTCTGCTATAAAAGTGTTCAAATTAAAAATGTTAAACCCAATAAATAAAAGTATTAAATATTATCAAAAAATAATTAATTTAATATTGCATTACTTTATGGAAATATTTCATAATGCGTTATGTTGCTGTGACCCATAGATATCTACATTTATTCTCGATGAAGAATCAAATTGCAGAAGCATCTTCTCACCTTTTCACCTTGGAGGGAAGACAACGTGGTCTCTCCCCGGTCAATCCGACACATTCGTGCTACATAAATAATATGTTTGCAGCATGGCTCTACCATGTATGTAAGTCTATTATCAGATTGTAACTTCCTTTATTATTGGTTGTTTGTACTATATGGGAGACTTCAGCTTACATAAAATATTGATGGAAATATATAATATAATAGCTGAAAAAAAGTGCTGAATTCACAAATCCTGTTAAAAGATTTAGATAAAATTAGTGCCAAAATGTGTGCATTACACCAATCATACATGGCTTGGGGACAAACATCTTTAACTTTTTGTTGCACTCCATTTCCGACACTTGCGCCATCATAGCTTTGCGCAACTAGTTTTGTGGTGCAGTCATGTTTGTGTAATAATTTCAATATGATATTACAAAGTGTGTCTGCTGTGCGACTTTCACACACATTTACATACCCCATGAAACAGTCATGAATATCGTTTCCATAATAATATGAGAGAATCAGACACAATTGCTCTCTGTGAATTACATCGAGATTTTAAGTAAAATCGATAATTGAAACGAATTTTGACAATTTTACTTCGTACTCGATGTGAGTTTTCATTACATCAGCGATAGAATGAATAATGTCATTTTGGATTGTACTAGATAAATAACTCGACCGTTTGTTGATATTATACCTATATGCTTTTCTAACATGAGATCGTACTTCGAAAGAAGAGATACATGTTTTAAAAAATTGCCTCTCTTTAATGAAGTTTTCGACTCATCGTGACCTCTGAGAGGAAGTTCTTGTTGTGCTAAATGGCAAACAATATCGACTAGTCTTTGAAAAACCCTACGGTTGTGATCAACACGCATGTTTTGTAATTTCCTCTAATAACTGTCGCGACTAAGATGTTTCAATCCGATTTTTTCAAAACTACTAAACGAAATTACCGCATTCATGTGTTTTTGAGAATTCATAAGCCTTTAATGGTTCCAGATAAGTTATTTAAATCATCATATCCAGTAGTATTCCAATCTGTTTTGTCGTTGGAAAAGAATATACAACACCAACAGTACCTACAACTTATTTGTATGTGAGCAGCCAACAATCCAATGAGTTTTGTAAACAGATCTATTAAATTACCGTTGTTGGTTTGACTCGTCTGAGAAATGCACAGATCAGGTGTTAGTTTCGGCGAGGATATAAGCTATTTTTTCTCAACAAAGTTTAAAGATTTTACCTTTTCCTCGCCGATTAGCATTTTAACACACTTCAATTCATCACAAGAAACACTCTTACCCTCCATTTTCACTAAAAATCTTTAAAAAAGCATAAATTTTCAACTCGCAATATTTTATAGAATACATTCGCTCAAACTCAACACACAATGAAAACATTGAAATGTGACGTGAACTTGCAGACATATCGCCGGCGTCATCCGCTCGCCTCTGCTCTCGACTAACTTCATTCCTAACTTAACCGAACGTCCCATTTTAGGCGAAACAACAACTTAACTCTGAAAGGATTCTTTTGCTTTCTTTGCCGTTTAACATATTCAAATTAACTATTCCTTTAGTAGTCTTATCATTTTTCTTTTCTCTCTCTTTATTTTCAGTATCTTTATCTTTCCTTTTAGTTCTTCTAAATTTTTGATCTTTTCGTTAATATTATTATTGTAATGTATTTTAATGTCTTTCATATAAATGATCAAAAATTCAGATGTTTACTTTTATACTGAAATAACACGCTTCTGTTTAGCTCAAACACATGCTATTGCTATGCTATGCTATGCTATTCACTTTACTCATCATATTTTTAAATATTAGGCTGTCAGTCTCTATGTCCCGGCTAATATTACGTCGAATGGCTGAACTGATCTTGATGAAACTTTATGAATAGACAGAAATCAATGCCAGTAGAAATCTTAGCTATATTTTATCCAAAAAACATGCAAGATTTTATTGTAAAGAAAAACTGATAAAATAACCCACTCTATAAAATGCGCCATAGCGGTTACGCCGTAGGTGCCACGTAAGACAGGTGGGTAAGCAACCTCAATTTTTTAATATTTTGAGTTGTTATGGAGAAGATACTTCTGCCCATATCCTGTTACAATTGCCTTCTGTCTCCTCATATGACACCCATGGGACGATGAATGTGAATATTCTTACAATGCCACTGCAGGGTTATGATAAAATAATTTTAACCTATTAATAAAATTGAAGTCTGTCTTCGTTTCATACCTTTGTAATATAACTGGTTTGTCTTAGGTTCAGGAGATTGCTTGCATGCTATGAAAACATAAATAATATACATTTTAAATTTTTAGCTGCCTGTTTGTCTGTCCGGGCTAACCTCCGGAATGGCTGAAACTATTATGATGAAACTTCACAAACAGATACAAATCAATACCAGATGTAATCTAGGCTGTTATGTTACACAAACAATTGAGACGACAAAAAAAAAAAAGGGGGGAAAAAAAAAAAGAACCTTATTGCAAACAACCCAACCAACAGCCACGTATTTTGAGGCTAGGGAGCAAAATTCTGCTCAAGATAATAACGGCTTGGGGCAAGCTGAGCAACAAGACCGTCCACGAGACGTAGGTATCCTCACCGGCTTATACTTTGTATCTCTCCTACCGGGGTACAAACTGGAACACTCCTTTGTGCCTCAGGTTAGAGTATACATATACGTCAGAAAGGACATCTGTTTTCGACGCCTCGGCAGACTTGAAGGTTCGGACTTGTCCAGCCTTTGGCTACGCGTAGATCATCCACGCGTCTACGGGTGCCTTTATAAGCCCCACAGCGGTAATGTTGAAACAGACCGACTATTCGACCAAGTCAAAATAGCTACAGGTTCCTTGCTATAGCAAATCCCCTCCACAGAGATAGTGATCTGTGGCGATTTTAACGAACACCACGCCAAATGGCCTAGTTCACGTACAACCGATTATGCACGGAGATCTGTTCATGATTTTGTCAGCCGCAGCCTCATCTTCCGTCTAACAGCTATGAGATCCTAGAGTTTTTGTGTTCTTCTGCGATATGTCTTGTAGAACTTAGCTCCGACCGCATGCACTGCAATCTTATAGGCACTGAAATCTGTTTTGTAACTCGAGCTGAAAGGTTTCGGGATTTTGGATTAGAGCACGAGGTGGACGGAGCGTTGACTTCATTAGACGAGACCTCTCCAACTAACGTTTACGTTCGGTGTGCCTCTAACCGCTCGGTGATTGCTACCAGTTTTCACTCTTGCGATCACTGAGACATCACTGTACAGTTGCTGTCTAGTCATAATTTAGTCAATCTCATTTTTATCGAACCGTCAGGGCTTGACCAGGTCCACTTTCTGTGGGCCGCTTCTGGAAGAAAGAGTTCATCATAAAGAGTCCCTCTTTCTCCATGAAGTCGGCCAGCTGCTGGCCCCTTGGGTTCCGTTGCTCTATCCTAAATTTTCTGCCTTCATCTCCGCTCCGCTCTTCTTGTACCTAGTTTTGCGTTGTCTCTCATTAACACCGTATAGTGAGTTTTGGAGGAATGTATGGCTCTATAAATATCCTCATAAATTTCCTCCACCTTCTAATTGGGATGTTCCGATGTTGGTGCGTAAACCTGTATGATCTTAAGCGAATACCGCTTGGTAATTCTGAGTATAAGGTACGCAACCCCCGTCGATACACTCCCAATCTTTACAACGTTGTTACACTGCGTGGGGCATCAGGTGGTATCCCGGTGATTAGTAATTTTCTTCCAAAGTTTGCGAAAGCTGGTGTCACTGCTGTACTTTCGTGAACAGAACTTCGATATGACAACAAAAACGGTTGTATGTGCTTGTCCTAATTTCGTTGCCGATTATCTACAACTTTTGCCAGGTACCTCTCCAATGTCTGAATTAATTCGTTTATTCGAATTAAATCGTACCACCTACCTAGTACTCACTGTTTTATTCCTTTACACCTTTGGTTGCCTGGAAGAGATCGCTATGTAGCGATAAGGCCGCCAAATTGTACATGTAATCTGCTCTCTGTTATGTTATTTGTAAATTTGTTTGTGGTGTGCAATAAAGTAATTCGTTTATTCGAATTAAATCGTACCACCATTCAATTAGACTTCGGGTGGTATAAAATCGTTCTTGTTTTGTGAGTACCCATAACTCAGCAAGTTTCCTGGAATATTCGAGACCCAAAATTCCTTCTTTGATCGCTGTGGATCTCTAAAGGTACTCCAAAAAGGACAGAAAACTT